GATATCAAAAAAGTACTCCAGAGTGTTGTTCAGCATGGGGGTGAGTAGAAAATGAAGGCTAATCATGTTTTGGGTGTACTATTCCTTTAAGATTCCTGATCGGGAGGTGGTCGTTAGAGGCAGATCGCCCCTCGTTACGCCCTGTTCACTACAGGATGCACCATCAGGCTGAAAATCGGCCTGATCGAAAAATTATCGCACAACTGGAGAATCGGCTCGAAAGGGGCAAAAATAAATAAATAATCGTAGAGTTTACGCCCGGCTTAAAAGAGAAATCTGAACTGGCTGGGAGTTACTGGCAGGTCAGACACTTAGAAAGAAATGGAGATCAGAAAATTCAAACTAATCAATTTGGAAAAAAGAACTTTTGTCTAATGAGGATATTATTCCTGTGAACAAATCCAGGAGGAATTCCATCACGTAGCGGATTACAAACCTGCCCCCATTCATCTGCACTAGCTCTGTTTATACACACTTAATAAACATCTAGAGGCTGAAGAGCTGCAGCCCGCTCAAGTGTGAAAACTGACGCTCGCTACCCTCAAAAGGTTGCAGACATCTTAGCAGCAGCTCTTTGCTGTGAGGTTTGCTGTGGTAGACCTTTGGGAAGTTTTCAGGCATAACTGATCAGGATTCCACATCACAATGTTTTCCTCATCTGCTCTCTCTATGAAAGGCCTGTAGGTAACAGTCTGCCACAACAACAGCACCGCTACAAAACACTTAGAAGGAGCGGAGCAGGAAGTGGGGCTTCAGATTACAGGACTGATGGGTGGGAGTGTTCAGGGCTCAGGTCAGGGAAGGACAGAGGAACATGAGCCAGAGCCACATGGTGGCTAAAAGCAGGGATTAGCTGTCACAGATCAGATCCCTCATAACCCACCACTAAACTCAATGTAAAGACAAAAGAAGTGACTCGATCTGAATGGGTGTGGTCTGCTTTCTAATCGAGAACAAAATTTGGAGAAGAAAAATAAAAGGAGAGAGAGACAGAGAGAGAAACCCTGTTCTGTTCCAATATGTTCCAGATGGTGATGGGATTTTATTTCTGGGAATAGAGTCCTGAAAGGAACATAAAGGGAATGGGAGGATGAATGTGGAGAGCCGGGTCGGTGAAGCTCAGCTGAGTCCACGCTAAACCTGAGAGGAACCCCGGCGAAACTGATTTAAAGGAGGCGTCACTCTGATAATACTGGAGCCAGAACATCTGGCTTCTAAACTCATTCTTCTTTGTTGTTTTAGATGCAGGAAATATTTAAACACAACAGATTCGTTTAGACATCATCCCCCACTTATCAACAGAAATATCCTAGACGTAGATCATGATAACCATTACATCCCCAAAAACATCATTTCCAGATAATTGATTACAGTTTTTTCATCAGGAGACATGGGCGATTCTAAACGGGGGCCAACGGGGGCCGGTGCCCCTGTACTGACAACATAATACTAGTCCTTCGGATCTATTTCACTTTTTTTCTTTAAAGTTTTTGTTCTAATTATTTAAAATAAAGTTTTATTAATGATTTAAAAGCGTGAGTGATAGTATGGACATAGGATCCCAGTTTTAATCTGCTAAATGTTTATTTTTTTCCAAACACATACTCTAATTTTTACAGCTGAATTTATCTGTTTTTAATTTTAGGTTCTCATTCTGATTTTATTTTTTTTTTAACTGTAATTGTAACTCAAATTAAGTTGAAATATCTTAAATTGCTAAATTATTAATGTATATTGACCAAATATCCCAAATAAAATGCTTTATTAGATTGTTTTAGATATTTATATAGCTACGGGATTTTGATTTTAACAATGATCCAAATGAACATTTTCAAGCCAAAAATAAATATTTTCAGTTGGAAGAGATCATTTTAATCAACCTAATTGAATGGAAATTTCCCTTCATTCAGCTGTCTTAATTTATTTGAATCCCTTGTCCTGTTTTTTGTTTCATGTGCCCCCATGGTGGTACATTTGGTCTAGAACCGCCACCGATTAAAGAGATAAAGGTTCAGAATAGTGGGTGAACATAAGGAACTGAATCAAATACTGCATTCTGCACCTTTCTGGAAATGGTCATTAATAAAGTATGGAATGTAAAAACATATTTCTGAGCTGATTAATGTAATTTCCCCATTGTGGGGCAATAAAGGGATTTTCTATTCTATTCTATTCTATTCTAAACAGCTGGGCCGTCTGTATCTGGATGCAGACCTCCTCCTCTCTTTGTGTCCTGGCTCTGCTTGTCGTTTCAACCAGCATCGTGTTCTGGCTGAATAAACACTCCACAGGTTGCAGGAAATGAAAGCCACCATAGACCCTGGGAAGCAGCTGGAGACCTTTTCATTTAACATATAGAAATATTGCATATGGATTATTTAAGGGATCATGGGAAAGGAATGAAATCTACTGCTGGATAATGGTGAATAGTGTAAAAGATGCACGTTGGAAAGCAAGAAATATCAAGATTTTAAAGAGAAAAGAAGAACCTGAGATTATATAACTAAACAGTGTTGTTAATCTAGGGAAAGATTATATCTAGAATTATATCTTTATTTTATTTATTAATTTTAGGCATGACAAGATAAATATCAGTGCAAATACTGTTGAAATTGTGATGTGCTTTTTGTTATTGTTGCTTTTTTTTCTGCTTATGAGTTTTTTGTATTTTGCAAATTTAAAAACCACCAATAAAAACCTTAAAATAAATAATATAAAAACATCAAATGTGAGTCGATTTCTACCAGCTGTTTATGGGTGTTTTGTAATTTTAAAATTGAAAAAGAACCTATAAAAATCTTTGAAAAAATAAATAAATTAAAAAAGAGCAGCACATGTGAGCTGCTTTCTACCAGCAGAAACATGTCCACCAGCAGCAGCAGCAGACCGTGATGGAGCAGGGGGAGAAAACAAAGCAGCGCGGAGGGGAGGAGGAGGAGAAGGAGAAGGAGGAGAAGGTCTCCCTCTGCCGCTGTTGCTGCTGGCGGCTCACGTCGCGCAGACACAACGTGTCAACACCCAAACTCCAGCTTTCAGTGGTTGAGCGAGCAGCTGGGTTTCCTTTAGAGACAAAGCTCCGAACAGCAGCAACAAGCTAGGTCAGCGCGCGTGCGCGCTCCAGAAAGCACGCGCGATTCTGTTACAGAGGGGAGAAAAAAAAAAAAAGATGACTGACCTGCTGGAGTGGCTCCAAATATCCGCACCACCGGCACCTTCTTCACTTCGCTGTCCCTGAATTCAGAGTAACACACGTCCAGGCCTTTAATGGGGCTGGACAGATAGTAGTCTGCGGTGACTATCCGCACTGCAAACATGACTGCAGCGCTGCTCACACAGAGAAAGAGCTGAAAAAGAGAAAACTAACGCAGGGAGTCCATGAGAATCTGAGACCCTGTTGGTCAGGAAGGAGGGGGGGGGGGCTGTCAGGCGGTAAAACGGTGAAAAAAGAAAAAAAAAAAAAAAGCGAAACAATGCTCGCCGTGTCTGCCGCGCGCCCAGCCTGTCACAGCCCGTAAAAGGATCGACTGCTGCCGCGAGAGCGAAGCTCAACGGCGGAGCGGAGCCCCCGTGTGAGCCGCTGCAGCCCAGAGCTCTCCGTCCGCTGGCCCCATGCTGGACTCCAGCGCTGCCTCGGTGCTGTTATTGTTTGGGTGGAGGGAGACGGTTCCACCGAGCTTCCGGTGCAGCCTTATCTTTCCAAATCACGGCTCAGAGCGGATCCCAGCCACAGTCCTCCTCAGTCAGACAGCCCCCCACCGGAGCTCCCCCCTCTTCCATAACAGGCTACAAACAGCACAGTTCCTACCGCCAACAGGATGAAGCTGGACGTGACGAACAAGCACTTCCGGTTTTCAAAATAAAACCAGCTGTGGAAGTCAGCAGCAGACCATCAGAAATAACGGATTATCGAGAAGGTGTATAACAATTAATAAGATCACTTAGTTCAGAGAAACAAAACTCTAAGCAGACTAGAAGCTCTGTGGGTATAATTAATTTTCCATGGAGCGTTGGTAGAAAAATATATCACAACTCCACCGGAAGAAGTAATACTGGGAAACTATCAAAATAAAGCTAAAAACATGCCACCATAAAATTGAATCAATTGAACTGAAGTTTATTCTTTATCCTCTACAGATTTTTACAGATACTTTAATTTTTTTTTTAAATGCACAAAATAATGTTAAAATTATGCTTTTACACTACTGAATTAGCACAATCTGTAGAACCTAATAATTGATGCATAATCTAAAAACAAATGGATTATAAGGAAATTAGTGTATTTAGAAAATAGTGGTTCAGGTTCCTGTGAATGATTACAGGACGGAGGTTAAACAGCTGGTCAGTATGAAATACTTTGAGGCTAAATCCAAAAAAAGAAAATTTAAAACAATCCACTGGATTGTTTCAAAGTTTTGAAGACGTTTCACTTCCCATTCAGGAAGCTTTTTTAATTCACAATGTCAGAAATAGCATTGAGTTTGAGGTTCTTGGGTGGGAAGCGAAAGGTCTTCAAAACCTGGAAACAAAGTCCAGTGGATTTTTTTTTATTTTCTTTTTTTGGAATGACGATGACCTGGATGACCAGCTTAGGGGCCTAATGTTGCAGCTTAGTGAGAACAGGGTGGAGATCATTTATCAGATCAGCCAAAGAGATTATTTAAGTCCATCCCTCACAGATTTCATCAGCCAACTTGCTGATGTGACGTCCCTCATCATGGAGAAGTTTCCTCACCACCTTAACTGGACAGCTAATCTGAACCTGGCTGTAAAAGTTTAGGAAGAACAGGTGTTTTCCAGGATTTAGCTCCATCCACATTGATCAGCTTCAGTATTTGGGAGCAGTACAGAACCACATGGTTTGTTTTTTTAACATTACATGAAATCTTACTTTTTTGCCACATATACACTGGAAAAAAACATTTATCTAAATTTTGATTTTTTTTCCAGTGTAGAATTCTGATTTGCATTCAATTTTCATTTTCAATAATATCTTTATTGAGTTATAAATATATATTTTACTTGTACAAAGAGACAGTAATCAAAACAATAGCATCCATAAAATAAACAGTCACAATGTCCAAAAAACATTCACATATTTCACACATTTAACAAATTAAATAAAAGTTAAAACACAAACACTCAACAGCACATCAATGCAGCAGTTTTGAGCTGTTTGAGCACTTTGACATTTAGGAGACTTTATTAAGGGAATTCCATACAGTCTGAAACTCTGCAGCCCTTCCCCTGCTTATATAAGTCAGCCTTAACATGATGCAAGATGCCACCTCCTTTATCCACATATGTATCGAGGGCACATCCATTTTTCTCCAGGACAAAGCAATCATCCTGCAGGAGTCCATAATCAATTAAAGTTGACTCGTTAGGAGTAACAATAAAGTTCTTTGGATATATACCAAGTAAACATATTTCTGCCAGGTGAGATGTCTTCACTCTAATGATCTCAGATAAAGTCAGAACTATTTCCTTCCAGTATTTTTTCATATATAGGCAATCCCATACGCAGTGATATAGAGTATGCTTTCCTTCCTAGCGCCTAATGCACATGTCTGGGACATCAGGAGACCACTGATTTAACTTAACCAGGGTAATGCATGTTCTCATCAACCATTTCTATTGTAATAGTTTCATTCCATCGTTGATAGATTGTTTTTGGGCTTTAAAACATGCCTTTTATCATTTGTCTAATTTCAGAGTTAACTGATCTTTAAATAATATTCAGTGAAATTATACAAAAGTGGGCTGTGTTTCATACTTGGGCAAGTTATTATACGTAGTTAAAGGGGCCTGAATAAAAAAAATAATAATTTTCTCCGTTCTGACTTTTAGAAATATAAAAACAAATGAATATATTTTCTTTTTAGTCTGCTTCAAAATCACACACTGTGCTATAAAATTAAACAAATGTCTATAGACACTGTAAAAATTATCTAAAAATAAGTAAAAAAGAATTAAATTAAGAGTATTTATCCTTAATTTTAGCAGGTAAATAAGATGATTTGCAAATGGAATTAGTATTTCTTTTTCTTAAAATTAAATAATTAGATGATATCCACTTGAAATAAGACAATGCAATTATGTCGTCTTATTTTAAATGTAAATTGTCTTGTTCCATTGGCAAAATATCTCTTTTATCTCCTCAATCCATTTTTTAAGAAAAAAATGACTGATCTAGATTTAGATTTTTTTCCAGTGTGTTATTAGCTCCTAGTAAGCTCTGCACCGGTGGCAACATTAATCTATACACACATCAGAAGGAAACTGGACAATTCTGGTAGTTCTGCATCTGTCTCTACATCAAACGAGCTGTTCAACAAAAAAAACAAAAAAGTTTCTCTCATACATTATAATCACAGAACGATGAGAAAGGGAAACATGGATTTAAATTCCCATTCTGACCTCTGTATCAAGTTCTACCGAACGTTCTGTTTTCCACAGTAACTGCCTGATTAATCTAATCCCCTTTGTTTTGGAGGCGAGTGAGCAAAAGAAAGTTTGCATTTTTAATAAAAGGTTTCATTTGTGTGAGTAAAATCTCAACTTCAAAACATCCATTGATGATCTGAAATTCTGCAGCAGTTGTGACAGAAATATTTTGGAGAATGTCTATGAATTCTGTTGATTCTTTTAAAAAGCAACTGAAAACGCTGCTATTTAAGAAGGTTTTTAATTAGACGTGGGGCTTTTATGGCTTTGTTTGTACACTGCAAAAATTATCTAGAAATTAGTAAAAATCTCTTAAATGTATTTATCCTTAATTTGAGCAGGTATATGAGATAATCTGCCAATGGAATGAACAGTTTTACTTTAAAATAAGTATAAAATGAGATATTATGCACCTGAAATAAGAGACTGCAGTGTTTTCTTATTTTAAATGTAAATTGCCTTAATCCACTGGCAAAGTGTATTTCTTAACTACTTAATTCAAGAAATAAACGTTTTATTCTAAGAAAAATAAACTTACTTGAATTTCAATTTTTTGCAGTTTATGTTTCCATTTGTTTTGAAAATGTAGATATACATTGCATTCTACATTGTTTTATTGTATTGCATTTTTTACTGTGAAGTACTTTGTGATTTGTATCTGTGAAAAGTGCTCTAAAAATAAATTTTACTTACTTACTATCCATCCTGTCTGCAGATCTTTAGTTTTCATTCTAGGACAAAATGTGAGAAAATGTACAAATCGGAGCAGAAATGGCTTTGCTCCCTACTGGACCATCCCCCTGGGAAAATCTGCACTTCAGATAAAAGCTCCCTCAGAACTATGCATCAACTCTAGCATACGTCATATTTTTTAGATTATTTTAAAGGTAAATTTGTTGCTCACACTGGAAAAAAAAAATTGATTTGTAAAGTTTTTTTTATATTTTTTTTCAATAAGTGCATTGTGCTTGGATTGAGGAAGTAAAAGAGACATTTTGCCAATAGAATAAGACAATTTGCTTTTAGAATAATAAAACACAATTACATTGTCTTATTTCAAGTGCATTTGATCTAATTATCTTATTTTAAGAGTAAAAATACTCATTCCATTTGCAAATGATCTCACTTACCTACTCAAATTAAGGGTAAATACACATAGTTTAAGTAATTTTTACTTATTTCTGTTTTTTCCAGTGCAGACACTTGCAGCCTTTCAGCCTTGCTGCCGGCAAAGCTGAGCAGATGCTTTCTGATTGGCTCATTAGGAGAGTTGAGGCTCTCCTTCAAGGTCAGCCTGCTCCCTGTCAGGCTCTCCATCAATGTGAAGGTGCTGATGAAGCATTTCTCATCACCAGGAAGTCGTTAAGCGGGATGTCCTCGGAATGAACCGAACCAGCTGCTTGGAGAGGGTGATGGCTCCTTCAGTGGAGAGGATGTTCTCCTCTGCTTCCTGCCACTTCCAGGCTGTTGCATTAGTCTGAGTGGAAATCTGGAGAGGAAGAGAGGCAGCATCATCTACAGCCATCCAGGATGGTACATGGAAGTAAGGAGGTTCAAAAACCAGGGGGGGAAGTTCAGAAACCCAAATCATCTCTGTCACCAAATAAGTTTCTCTACATATATAAGTATTTGCCCTGCAAAAAAATGTAAATCTCAATAAGTCATTTTTTTCTTAAAATAAGTGCATTTTTCTTGAATTAAAGAGGTAAGTGAGACACTTTGCTAATGGAACAAGACAATTTAATATAAGAAAAAAGTTATTACATTGTCTTATTTCAAGTCCATATTATCTAATTACCTACCTATCTCAACCTACCTACTCAAATTAAGGATAAATACACTTAATTTAAGTAATTTTCACTTATTTCTAGATTGTTTTTCCAGTGCATGACTTGTTAATGTTTCTGAAATGATGATTATTACACCATGACTCCCTTGAATATAATTAACAATTTCACCACATTTTGCAATTAAGATCATTTCCCAAATTGAACTGGTTCAGTGATGTTTTTAATTTCCACAAAATAACTGTTTGTGTTTATTTGTAAGAATATTTTAACCCAGACAAATCTGTATTTTGTTCAAGTAAGGGAACAATATACATGTCTTCAATCAGCCATCCATCATTATTACTGGATAGAGATAAACAACCCTACAATCTAGAACCTTTTACTTTTAAAGCAGGGATGAATTGTGGGACATTTTTAGGATCAAACCTGAGCCAAAAACCTGGAAACAACAGATATGTGAAAAGAAGAACAGCAAAGAAACAGTTTTGCATTGAAAAAAAACAAAACAAAGAACAAACTGAAAATCTGCTAGAAGTGCAGCAGAGGACTGGTGCAAACGTATTTT